TTCTGTTATTCGAAAACAAAAACATTGACATATGTTATATTGCATTCCAATTTGCCTTTCACTGATAACATTACCCATCAATATGATTATTCATCAATGAATCACTTTGTAAATCCAAAGAATACGTAACTGAAAAACATTTTGTACGCTCAGATAATACCTAGAGAACAGATGGACTGTAAAGGGATTAACGTGAGAAAGAATTCTCGGGTAGTATTGATTGAAGTATTTTAAGGTGTCTTGATCGGTTGTTTATCAACAGATACATCCAAGATAGATTCATGAAAGCATTCAGATATTTGTATGACTTTCTCATTTGGTCAAGAATGCTTGTTTCAATCGGAAACTTCGTTGTTTGTGTTCATAGCTCAATCTTCAGTTCTCTGTGTAGTGTATTGTGGACTGTCGTTTAATTGTCTTTTCTTCATATTTCTTCTGATCATAGTGTTTCGACTTATGGTTTATGATTGCCCCTTGCTATTTTTTCTCCCCTTTTCAGTAACAGCTTTGAAACGAATAATAATACCGATTGAACCAAATTGATGATCAAACTTCGCATTGGTCCTTATGGCTAGGCGGGTTATGAGGTAAAGGGGAAGTTTCTACCGGATTTTACCTTCTGCATGATTCAGAAATAAATTGGTTACTTCATTTGATAGACTATCGGTTATATTCAGTTAATTTTAGTTTAAGTGTTATTTGCCAGGCTTTATGGACTCCCCCCTTTTTTATTTACCTTGGAGTTCGGTATTTTAGTTAATACTTATATAATTTATCAGTGTTACTTTGATCTGATATATAAGCTTAATATGCTTTTCATTTTACTTTACAACTCGTGTAAGTACATGGACTGTAACTATCTCTGATTTTTTTCTTTACAGAAAGATCTGCGCATGCATGAAGTTAAAATAGTCGCCGAAAATAATAGACGAGGGAGAGCTGTTAGCTTTACTGTGAAGATGGATTAAGCCAAATGGATTGGTCTCGAAAGGTAAGAATATTTTATTGCAATGAACTCAAACTCGGAATCACTTTTAGACATGAAATATTGCTTGACGACGTCTTGAATGTTTGACCTGAATATACATGAAATATTTGCCAGTGGGCGTTTACGCAAAAATCAATCAATCAAACCTACATGCAACTTCGACCAAATCATGGACAATTTCCTTCTCGATTTAGGATTTTTTGTAATTCATATCTTTAATTGTCTTTTTGATGCAACATATTAAAGTGACCGTGATGTCATCAACGTTTTTTCATGGTTAACTACGGTTTAAAATGGAATTTAGAATTAAATTATAAGAAATGACTGTCATATTTTTTCTGTCTATTCGAAATAACATAAAAAATGTGGTGCACACTTTAAAATAACCCGCTACGCGGGTTGTTCAGTGTACACCACATTTTTGATGTTATTTCTTCATAGACAGAAAAAATATTACAGTCATTCCTTAAATAATTTAATTTTGGATGTAACGCGTCTTCTGATTGGCTGACGTTGTTTTGTTTATCAGCTTATTGACATAATTTTGCAATCGGCAATCCTCGGGTGACTCCGCTACTCTTCTTAGATGAGGTACGGAATCGGCCGAGTTATGACGAATGATAATTTTGTCATGTGACCGTGACGTCATCAACGTTTTTTCATGGTTTACTCCGGTTTAAAATGGAATTTAGAATTAAATTATAAAAAATGACTGTAGTATTTTTTCTGTCTATTGGAAATAACATAAAAAATGTGGTGCACACTTTAAAATAACCCGCTACGCGGGTTATTCAGTGTGCACCACATTTTTGATGTTATTTCTTCATAGACAGAAAAAATATTACAGCCATTCCTTAAATATATCAACCTATCTTGAAAGACGTGTATACTGTCAACTCATAAAAATACAAATTGTTTAGTCTCAAAGAAAACTTGTAAGATTTCCACTGCTATTTTTGCTGAATAGGTGCAATTTGGGTACTGTGACGTTAGAGCTCGATGTTTTGTTTAGACACTTGTCTATAAATGAAGCTCTTAATATGTTGACCGCTAGAGTTGTTGGGTTGTTGTCGCATTGACGCATTGTAACCACGATCTACTATTGTTAAACTTTCCTTGACATTTAATGCTATTAAAAAAAAGCCATTCTTAATATCATCATAATTATGAAATGCCACAAGGTTGTAAAATACTGATTAAACCTTAGTATGGTGTCACGATGGTTAACCAAACTGATTGTTATTGTTCTCAGTTTCTACTAAATAATGAGAAACTTTCTAGTATATATATTTACATGTATGTCTGGTTTCTGGTTGTAAAAGTACATAAAATTGAGAATGGAAATGGGGAATGTGTCAAAGAGACAACAACCCGACCAAAGAGCAGAAAATAGCCGGAGGCCACCAATGGGTCTTCAACACAAGGAGAAAATCCCGCACCCGGAGGCTTCAGCATGTACACATGAACGTATGCGTATATTTTATCTTATATAGTTATTCTCATAAAATCGGAAATGAACCTTTTTCGATTAAATTTGTATAAATATTTGTTATTATATATATCAAGTGTACTAGGATACAGTAACAAATTAGTTTTGAGTTTTTTCTGAATTGTCTTTTTATTCATATACACATATTAACAAGAGGTAGGGTAAATTTCCTTTTGTTTCACTCACAGGGCCAAAATCTCAATGATATTCTCACAACCGATCATCAGATTTACATATTTTCAATAAATAAAAATGTTAATGGAGCAGGATCTGCTTACCCTTCCGGAGCACCTGAGATCACTCCCAGTTTTTGATGGGGTTCGTGTTGCTCAGTCTTTAGTTTTCTATGTTGTGTTTTGTGTACTATTGTTTGTCTGTTTGTCTTTTTCTTTTTTAGCCATGTCGTTGTCAGTTTATTTTCGACTTATGAGTTTGAATGTCCCTTTGGTATCTTTCGCCTCTCTTATACAGCGATACATATTGCTGTTGAAGGCAATATTGCAAATTTTACATGTTCACGTAAGCTATTGCATCATAGGACGTTTATAACCAAAATTAATCATTTTGTATTCGAAAGACACTTTTTAGGTCCACGTTCCTAAGAAGTTTGATATTAATTTTGTTAAAATTTTTGATAAAATACTTAAAAAGCCGCGTTTTGAGTTAGCTTTAGGCATTTATAATTTGGTCCTACAGTATCAGTTTTCATCATGAAACTGAGACGATTTTTGATCCACAAACACAAAATATTTATTTATCATTTTGTTCTTAAATTGATCGAGTTTTGTTCTTTCTTTTTATGGTAGATGAATGATCGCTCAGCGATTTAGTTACATTTTTTATTGACGATTATTCCCAATATATATCTCTTCGAGGTACACAAAACAATAAAGCTTAATAAATTTATGGTTTACTGTAAGTTATTCATTATTTGTAAATTACTTGTTAATTACCTTTAGTAACTATTTACTACGTAAAAGGCAATTTTCAATCCAAGCACTGGTAATTAGTTGTTTCAAAGCAAGAACAAGATGTCATAAACCGAAAACAAGGTGTTATAGTGGTCAATATCCGACCGGATACATTCACCATGGTTACAAAATGGCCAATAATGTGTTCCTAAACTAGGAGACTATAGAAATATAGATACAGTCTGGTGAAAAGTAATTCAAAAGATTGGAGCAATATAGTATTAACTTTCTACGGATTCATTGTATTTATTATAATTACTATGTTATCCACATATTTCAGGTATAAATATTACTATTAATCGCTTGTAATTTTGAAATTACATATTCTTTAACACAGTCATCCGTTAGTTCGTCAATCATTTACGTTTCCGAATGCCAACTTTATTACTTTTTTTATCAGATTGCAACTTTCAGCTTGCTTCAAGTTGTTATATGGTCACATATGAGAGGAAGATCCCTAGTGATTTTGAAGTCATCATGTTAATCTTGTAGTGCTTGTGCTTATATACAACATTTGAAGACATGGGGATTGTGACAGTTATTTCTTCATGTACATGTATACGTGCACTTGCATAAGGTCGATTTCTATCCGACGCAGCTCATATGTAAATTGTGTGAGTTCAAGTGAAAATCATATTGACTCGATGTTACTATTTTGTAATATATTTAACTAACAGGGTGATGCGAGGAAGTTATACAAAAAAAAATGTATTTCAAAGAATTTGCTTGATTTTGTGTTCAAGTTTGTATTGTTTTGTATAATTCGTGCATTAAAATTTCACATAGGCCTGGGGCAATCTAATTAAGATATAGACCTCTGACCTCTTATGAGGATAACGAAAACAGAGGTCTATATTTTATCCAGATTGAGTCATAGGGGTTGATATTAGAACACCAATCAATTCACGTTTGAATCAAATAAATATCATGGGTGTTTATATAAGACCATTCATTTTAACTATCTTCTTACTGTTGTGTATAGAGTTGTGTAGAAGCACTGAAAATGTCTTTTATAATTATGAAATATCATCAGGCTGATTTTATGTTAATCACATTAGAAAGTAACTGTCAACTTAAAGTTTTAGAATATTTGTGATGAAAGCTTTCACTAGAACTGAGGGACAGGACTGAAGCAGGGAATTTCTATACTTGAGTATAGAAAGTCCCTGACTGAAGAGACAATATATATTACTAAATGTAGCTATATTTTCTTCCTTGTTTCATACAAAAGTTCCTATTAGCAAAATATATTTTTTAATAAATTTTCCTGTTCATCAAGCTTACGCAAAATGACACATATTTTCAGATTTCAAAAAAAAATGAAGAAGCTATTTTACTATCATTTCATAGTGTTCATTTGTGGGTACTTTGATTAGTTACTTAATAAGATTATTTGCATTTGTATTTGTAATTTTTCGCAATCAGACATGTACGCCAATATCATTGTAAAATAGCGTGCTGATCGATTCGTAACATGAACTTGGGACTCTGCAGTTCTGTACGTATATTTTCCATCGTGATTCCGGGTTAGGTCTCATAGTTGTAATGCTTATAGTACTTCCGGTTTAGAATGCGATATTTTATTGTTTTGTTTATGAAATTATGAAATAGAAAGTACTTTAAAATTCAACAAAAATCCCAAAGATGTCAGATGACGCAGGTAGGTAGTATTAAGATAATGAATCCAGTCAATTTTCCCAATTCTGAAACATGAAATAATAAAACTAATCAGTAATCCCTGGGATATATGACATGTATGATGGGTGTGACTGAATTCATTTGATATGTCTGATATTCTTGTATATCCTGTTGATTGTAAACATTGTAGAAGTTGAATCTTACTTGGAAATAGAATAGAATTGGTCTGTATTCAAATCAGATCCGGTAACGTTACCCTGTGTTCGATTCTCTCGAGTCAGGGTTACAGTTTTTCATGTACAGTATAACTGTTTTAACAATTTCATCCAAGTATTTGATATTCCCTCACAATGGATCAGCCTTACTTAGATAACTTTCTCACAAATCTGAGTTAATTTGCCCCTGTTCTTAGTGTACCCTCAGGCCAAAAAAAAATATATGTCTGTTTACGGTTACCCGACCGTACCTACTTTTGAGCGCCGACCCTAAGTCATTTTATTTCCGTCGTAGAGTGAAAAATAAACTGAACTCGTGTCAAAAGCAAAGTTAGTGTTGCAAATAATATAAATCAATTGCCTGATACATCCTAATGTTCACAATCGTGAATATGACAGCTGTTTTAAGGAAATTCCCAACTCGTGTGATGAAATAAACACTTTGCCGCCATATTTTTCCAATGGAAATAATCCAATCATTAAAAATACGGGTAAACTCGGCCCATGATCAACTCGGACCACGACAAGATGAAACGGCATGAATCAAAATCGTGTCACAAAAAATAAAATAAAATGGAAATACCGACCTACCTACCCTATTTTTTTAAAGTATGTAACCTTAAACAGACATATATTTTTTTTTGGCCTCAGATATGATATTGTAACCCTGTGTCTGCTAGCCTGCCATCCTCCTGACAGGTTGCGATTCTGGTCCCTTCCTGTTTAACAAATTGGGAAGATCTCATAAAAAGGGTTGTAAAAATTACTTGTAAAAATAGAAGTTAATTTTAAGAATGAATGTCTCCCAAATTCATGTCAAAAGAAATTTATTACATACCATATTTTCAATTTTTACAAGCCTCTCTTTAGGGATCAATCCTCAATTTTCCCAAAGTCTGTTCGCCCATATTGTTTGATTTTTTATTTTGTTGTACAATGGTTTATAATTTTCAACTTCCATTAATAAAAGAAAAATTTATATGCAAATTTGTAATTTATAACATTTTATCCAGTAAAGACAAAATATTTTGTGTTACATGTACATGTATATATATATATATATACTGTTTCGATCCCTAACATCACTGAAGAGACATTAATTGTCGAAATCCGGATATGGTGTACTAATTTTTGCACCTTTTGTTTGCGGTATATCATCTTTTCCGCAAGTTTATTGTTTTCTGTTTGGTATTAGATTATTAATTTTTAAAGATCCATTTTGTTACATCTTGTGATCCATGTATTTGGCAATCGCCAATGGCAGTCAGCAGGGTTTAAGAACATCAGTTGTTCGACCTGTTAGTCAAATGCGTTTTGTTAAAATATACTTTTTCACTTTTTTGGTCTTTTGGAAAATGTTGTTTGTGCTGTATTTAGACCCCTCTACCAAGAAATTTGTTTTGCATGCACACGTATAAAAATTGCGGTTTTTATCCAACGCAATCATAGGTTTGAACGTCGTTTTCAATTTAGACTTGTTTATATTTTGTCGTTTGGGCTTGTATTATATTTTCCTTAGGGTTTATATGATCCGTTCATCCTATTTCGATTCTTTAAAATTCAAGAGTCTATCCTAAATTGAGGTAAATTTTATGGCCTTCCAAATACTGTTTCGATCCCTAACATCACTGAAGAGACATTAATTGTCAAAATCCGGATATGGTGTACTAATTTTTGCACCTTTTGTTTGCGGTATATCATCTTTTCCGCAAGTTTATTGTTTTCTGTTTGGTATTAGGGGACGACCATTTGATATTCTGGGGGGGGCCAGGTGGATTTTGAAAATAAATAACTCAGCCTTGATAATCACAAAAATAAATGGTTTGTTCTGTGGTAGTTTGAAAATAAATTACCTGACTTGCAATGTATTGAAAATAAATAACTCAGCAGGTCTAATCGAAAGTATGAGATGGCACCAGATTCTTCATAAATTCATCTTTTTTCCAAAAAAAAATCGGGGAAACACTTCCCATATCTTTTAATAATAAAAGTATAAATATTATTTAAATGTACTTGAAATGTCAGAAAATTGGTTTCATTTAACTTGAGGTTAATTGTCTCAGGAACACTTACCTCACTTTTATTAAATCAGGGCCGTAACTACATTGAGACAAATGCCTCATGTAGGAAATTTCAAAACCAAACGCTTGTCTCTATATCAAATTGTGTTCACCGTGAGTGCCTTGCAAGAAGCAAGTTCTGTTCTCCCTCAGACGTAGCCCCTGATTTTTCGGGATCAATGTTTCTTATTTATTTGTCTTTTGTTCATTGATTGCCCTTCTGTCATGTCTGTATTCTGTTAGTGTTGCATTCATTTTGTAATTTAGTAATTTTATTATTAACTTGATCTTGAGTTTAAAAAAACACAGCAGCCACAGACTTAGCTATGTGAATTACATTTTTGCTTTATCATGCATATTTGTCTTTTGATGTTGTTCCTAGAAACTTAAGTCTTACACTGAATCTATAACGTGATTTTGCTTTAAGACCAAAATATTGTCATAAAATTATTAAAACAGAACTTGCATTTTCAGTTTAAGAAATTTAAAGGGTCTGGGGAACACCCAGAAGGCATGATTTTGCATCATTTGTTCTATAGCTTCTTTGGGCCTTCAGCGGTTCAAAAACCCTTAAAAAAAAATTTAAAAGAGCCTTAGTTACAACCAAACTTTAATACTGTGTTTGTATGCAATACATGTATATGCATTGGGGAATATAGAAGATTCATTTCTGCAGAGGATAATAATTAATTCTGATTAAATGATACATAATGACTTTACTATACATGAATTATTTATAATAAACAAATAATTTTAAAATTGTATGTTTTCGAATATTATAAATATAGTTGTGAAAATAAATAATCAGTCCCTTGCTTTAATGAAAATGAAAAATCTTGCTACAATAGTGCAGAAAATAGATAATCTGTCCTCTTAGTTTACAAAAATAAATAACCGATTATTGTTTTCTGTTTGGTATTAAATTTATAATTAAGATCCATTTTGTTACATCTGGTGATCCGATTATTTGGTAATCGCCAATGGCAGTCAGCAGGGTTTAAGAACATCCGTTGTTCAACCTGCTAGTCAAATGCATTTTGTTAAAATATACTTTTTCGCTTTTTTGGTCTTTCGGAAAATGTTGTCTGTGCTGTATTTAGACCCCTCTACCAAGAAATTTGTTTTGCATGCACATGTATAAAAATTGCAGTTTTTATCCAACGCAATCATAGGTTTGAACGTTGTTTTCAATTTAGACTTGTTTATATTTTGTCGTTTGGGCTTGTATTATATTTTCCTTCGGGTTTATATGATCCGTTCATCCTATTTCGACTCTTCAAAATTCAAGAGTTTATCCTAAATTGAGGTAAATTATACGGCCTTCCAAATACCGTTTCGATTCCTAACATCACTGAAGAGACATTAATTGTCGAAATCCGGATATGGTGTACTAATTTTTGCACCTTTTGTTTGCAGTATACCATCTTTTCCGCATGTTTATTGTTTTCTGTTTGGTATTAAACATTATAATTAAGATCCATTTTGTTACATCTGGTGATCCGGTTATTTGGCAGTCAGTAGGCTTTAAGAACATCCGTTGTTCGACCTGCTAGTCAAATGCTTTTTGTTAAAATATACTTTTCACTTTTTAGGTCTTTTGGAAAATGTTGTTTGTGCGGTATTTAGACCCCTCTACCAAGAAATTTGTTTTGCATGCACACGTATAAAAATTGCGGTTTTTATCCAAAGCAATCATAGGTTTGAATGTTGTTTTCAATTTAGACTTGTATACATGTATATATATATAAGTCTAAAGATTTGCACAACGGTACTAATATACGATGGTAATATACGAAGATGATGTTATAAAATCGTGTTGACAAATATTTCGGCTTAACAAATAGCCTTCGTCAGTGTCAATAGTTTTTTACAATACTTATTGTATGTGTAAAAATAGCTCAGTAATACAGGTAAGTTTTGGTCTATTGATTTAATCCCAAATTTTTAACATCATAATTTACAACAAAACTTGATACTCAAATATACATGATATATGTGACTGTCCATATGTATACCCCAAAATGAGAAGTATTTCTTATTGATGCCGTTTGGATGATGTTCATTTAGTTCCTTTATCCAAAAGCTCTCCTGAACCTGTAGCTGGGCATCAGTCCAGTGAATGTTCTGTTCAATCACTAGGATTTTCATGCGGTTAAAGTCATCAAGTTTATGACCCGACTGTCTGAAATGCTGAGAAACTGAGAGAAGTGGCTTCTTAGAGATATCACTCCTAGGCCTATGGCCATTGAGGCATTTGTGGAAAGGCTGCTTTGACTCACGAACATATTGGAGGCCACAAACTGAACATTCTAGAATGTAGATAATATTCATCATGTTCATACTTTTGCCGGTAACATTGCAAAATATCTTATAGTTATTTTCGGTTGCCTTACTGTGAAAAGTTGATGAGTGATGCATCTGTGGGCAGCATTTGCAGCGTTTTTCATCACAGAAACGACATTTTCCAGAAGTACTTCTATGATCAGACACCTCAGCCCGCACCAAAAGGTTCCGCAGACTATTGGGTTGCCTAAAAGCTATCATGGGAGGTTCGGGAAAAATCTTAGATTTTTTGGAATTCTTTTCAACTGTTTTCCAATGCTCACGTATGACATGAAATTTTTTTTGAGAGATGGGTGGTAGGTAAGAACACATGGAGTCCTTTTATTTTTCTTTTTATCTTTGTATTCTAACAGTTTACTCCTTGGGATAGTTTCTGCTTTCAGAAAACTTTTTTGAATCGTTCTGTGTTTGTAGCCCCTTCTCTTCAAGCGGGTTTCGAGTTGACATAGTTGTTTCTGTGTTGACTCTGAGTGCCTGACTGTATGGGATATGCTCTTAGTATAATGAGCAGGATGGCAACTCTTAGGGGACAAGTATTGGTGAGTATCAGTAGGCTTAGAATATAGATCTGTGGATATAATGCCATATGTGAGGGAGCTTGAATGTATATATATATACATTGATATATATATATTTACAATTTATATGACCCTTTTGTGTCTGAAATAAAGATATCTTATCTTATAATTTAAATGATAAATGTAATGAATAAAAAATTATATAAAGGGCTTAAAACTGTCATTCCTAACATCTGATACAAGCTATCAAGTTTTTATAGGACCGCAAAAATTTTTTTGGGTTCGTATAATGCTATGATGTCGTCGTCATCTGCGACGTCGTCCGAAGACACATTTGGTTTCCGGACAATAACTTTAGTTTAAGTGAATGGATCTCTATGAAATTTTTTAAGAAGGTTCAATACCACAAAAGGAAGGTTTGGATTGATTTAAAATTTTGGGGGTGATGGTCCCAACCGTTTAGGAATAAGGGGCCCAAAACAAGCATTTTTCTAGTTTCAGGATAATAACTTGTGTATAAGTATTTAAATTGCTCTGAAATTGTACCACAATGTTTAATACCACAAGTAGAATGTTGGGATTCATTTTGGGGGTTATGGTGCCAACAATTTAGGAATTAAGGACCAAAAAGGGGCCCAAAACAAGCAATTTTGTAGTTTCCGGACAATAACTTGTGTGTAAGTGTATGGATCTCTCTGACATTGTACCACAAGGTTCCATATCACAAAGGGAAGGCTGGGATTGAGTTTGGGGGTAATTGCCCCAAATATGCAGGAATTAGGGACAAAATAAGGGCCAAAAACACACTTTTTTCTAGTTTCCAGACAATAACTTGTGTTTAAGTGTACTACAAGGTTCCATAATACTAAGCAAAGGCTGGGATTGAGTTTGGGGGTAATTGCTCCAAGGGGGATTAAAAAAATTGGGGGGGGGGGTATTTTTTTCTAATTTTTTTAAGGGGTTCATATTTTTTTTCTTAAAATTTTTCAAATTTCAAATTTTTGAAAAGTTTTTAGAAGAAATCTTCAATTGCAGAGTATTGCGCAATAGATTTGTGAGACCTTTGACCACATTTGTTTTGTGTCAGAAACCTATATTATGTAAAAAATTTGATTACAATCAAAATTCAGACAGTATCAAGCTTTAATATTGTGTCCAAATTTGCCCCAACTGTTCAGGGTGCGACCTCTGCAGTCGTATCAGGCTGCGCTCAGCGAAGCATTTTATTAATCATTAGTTACTCTATCAACCCCTATTCTGTTACTGTATCTTCTTCATTCTTTGTCCATGTTGTCTGGTTGAAGTTAGAATTATATCTGGGTTTTTTTTCCAAAATTGTTTTTCATCTTCATTTAATACTGCTGTTTAAATTGGTTTATATCAATTTAGAATTCATATATACTTGCCTATATTATCACAGGCATGATAGTACATTAAAAGGAATATTATGAAATAATAACTATTGAACTATTTTTGGCATCTGTCATCATGAGATGATAGGAACCAGTTACCACTGGTAACAACCATTTTTGACATAATTTTGATACCATTTACCATTTGATTCTTTGGCCTATTGTTTGATATATATATATATTTTTTGATTCTTGATGTTAAACCAATTTTGTGCAATTGAAAGGGTGTAATGAAGTTCTATTGTTTAACTTTAGCTAATACTTCATTAACTGAACTGACAAATAATATATTTTCCAATTCACTATAAACATGATGAAAAAAAGGTTTGGGAAACAGCTTGAAGGAAGTAATTTTTGTTCAAATTGCCTGAAGTGGTTATTTATATTTTGGGAAATTTTGAAATATTCCTCTTTGTAGTTTACTTCATGAGTAAATTATTGTACAAAATGTGCATGTATATGTCGGATTTAACCAAAATTACCGAACATTTCATTAATTCTAATGACCGAAAAAATTTCTGAAATATTAATTTTATACTATAATAAGCAATTATTTCATTCCTTCATATGATGTCTAAAATGAATAACAGAAATCGGGAAAAATATTGGATAGTACAACAGACCACATCCACCACCAGCACCCAACTTCTCTGAAACATATTGAATAGTGCAAAAGACCACATTCACCACCAACACCCAACTTCTCTGAAAAATATTGGATAGTACAACAGACCGCATCCACCACCAGCACCCAACTTCTCTGAAACATATTGAATAATGCAACAGACCACATTCACCACCAACACCCAACTTCTCTGAAAAATATTGGATAGTGCAACAGACCACATTCACCACCAACACCCAACTTCTCTGAAAAATATTGGATAGTACAACAGACCACATCCACCACCAGCACCCAACTTCTCTGAAACATATTGAATAGTGCAACAGACCACATTCACCACCAACACCCAACTTCTCTGAAAAATATTGGATAGTACAACAGACCACATCCACCACCAACACCCAACTTCTCTGAAAAATATTGGATAGTACAACAGACCACATCAACCACCAGCACCTAACTTCTCTGAAAAAATTGATGTTTCACAAAGACAAATAACAACAATTACACAATGTATATACATTTTGTACATGTAGCATTGTCCATGTTGTCCAGATATAGCCTGTCTTGGTTAAAGACACAGCAGCCAATGGGGTTGAGTTAAACCATGTTCACACAAATCTCTCCTTTGTCTATCTGGTCTATGTAGCTACAGCTGTTGGTAGCCCATGTACTTATGGTTATGCACTCAAGAAAAGAAAAATCTGAAACATTATTCCTAACATTACTGGTTTCATAAAATCTCAACATAAAGATTTATTGTAATCGACAGTATTTGTGAGAGGGCACTGCTCCAGAAAGTACACATATTTAGAATTGTAAGACCATAGGAAAAAAAGAAACATTTACAATCACATTAAAATAAATTGATGATTTACAATTATATGGACAGACTGATGGACATTCTAACAAGAGTTACCTTTCCTTGTCTAATAAATTTTAAAAGTAAATGCTAACATACTGATTAATAAACCTGGGCAAGTTTCTTTTTATTTTGCAAGTGTAGATAAAGTTTGTCATTTACTGTTTATTTCAGTTGTGGATTCAGGATTTAAAAAAGGGGGCCCAGGCAAGACAATGTTATTCTTAACAAAAGTCTATGCATTATTCCCCTCCTTGAAATCCACCTCTGTAGTTTACCTAAATAAGTTAGTACATGTACATGTCTATGTTTTCGTTACTTGTTTAGAAGTTTATAGTTTGATTAAGTTCTGTATCATGTATTTCAGAAATTTGTTCTATACAATAAAATAACTATATTTTCTTACAGCAAATCTACCTCCACCACCATCATATGAAGATGCTATAAAAGGCCAGCCTCCTCCTAGTACTCCCTATCCTACACAAACGCCTTATCCACAACAACAATATGCTCCACCTCAGCAGTATGGTGGACCAACTCAACCTTATCCACAGCAGACTTATCCAGGGTATCCTCCAGGACCTGGAATGCAGGGATATCCACCAGGGCCTGGGATGCAAGGATCTAATTATTCTCCTTCAGGATATGCTTATAACACATATCCAACATGTACAACTGTAGCTCCAACTACTATGGCCCCTAGTGCATATACTGGCACAGTATGTATTATTTATGCACATTAAGGTGGTACCAAACACCTTGACTAAAAATAATTTGGCTCGTTTAATTTTCATAAAATTTTGACAAAATATTTACTTTGACCCTTTGACAAAAATATAAAAAAATTTTAAAATTTGAACCACACACTTTATCGAAAAAATTTCATTGGATATATAGCAGTTTGACAAACACTAATTTTGATCATTGAGAAGCTAAATATTTCCTTAACAATAGAATGTGATTAAAACTTTCAGCTGATTTTTACAGAGTTATCTCCCTGTAGTGTTATGTACCACCTTAAGTTAATATATATGTTTTACAATAAAATTGGTTATGTCAGAAACAATAAATAGCTTTCCTGACTATGTGAATTATGACCATTACCAAAGGTCTGTTGTAAAAATTTCAAAAACTGCCTCGTTCCAAATTTTTGGGAAATGAGGAATTTTTGATATGGTTTGGAACTACAATTGTTGTCAACAGCCATTGAGTATGGCAGCCCCATGTCTTTAGTAGAATTCAACACAATATTATTCAATTAGATGGACTGTATTGCTTATACATGTATGATACAACTGACCAATATGCATGTACATATTTGCAGCCGAGTCCTGAGCTTTTGACTTTTAAGAGTTTTCAGTCCATTGTACATGTATAGGTAAGTACCATATTTGAAAATACACTAAAAATTCTTTTAAACACTAGTGAAAAGTGTTCAGCATTCATGATCATAATCATCCTAAAAGATGTTTACTCCTCAAAAATATAGTAGCCTTATTCAGTTAAGAATTGTCTAACTGTATCTTTTATGCCAACTTAGACATTCCATTTAATTTCCCTACTAAATATTTGTTTGTTGCCCAAAACCATCACAAATGACGTCTAGTGTATTGAACTTGTAAACTTAACCTTCAAAACACTAAGTTACTTTTAAATTCTAATATTAGTTTACAAATGTAGATCCTGCAAGATCATTGTTATATTTGCTTAATTTTACTTTTTTGTGAGGTATTGATTCTAAAAAGGTATAGCCATGATAAAAGTACATGTGTATTTATGATGTCTAAAACAAAATGATCTCATTACTTGCTATATGCACTGTCTCAAATTTTTTTGAGAATCTGCAATAAAAGAAAGGTAACTCATGAATTGAAGAATGTTTCTCAAGTAGAGAACCACTTGATATCAGGCTCATTAGAAAAATTGTAACGATTTCAGGACAAAGTATTGACATTTATACTTACATGAAAAAAATATGTTTATATTTGTATTTTTTCTATTTAATAGAGTTTTGTTGTCACATCAGAACAAATGCAAGCACAAAGAAGAAAAAAGATGATCATGATGTTTTTTGTAGGAATAGTTATGATCGTGGTTTTTATTATAGTTATAACATCCTTTTAAACAGAAAGTAAGTGTTTATTATAGTTATAACATCCTTTTAAACAGAAAGTAAGTGTTTATTATAGTTATAACATCCTTTTAAACAGAAAGTAAGTGTTTATTATAGTTATAACATCATTTTAAACAGAAAGTAAGTGTTTCTTATAGTTATAACATCCTTTTAAACAGAAAGTAAGTGTTTTTTATAGTTATAACATCCTTTTAAACAGAAAGTAAGTGTTTACTATATTTATAAGTTATAACATCCTTTTAAACAGAAAGTAAGTGTTTTTCTTATGTTTGAACAATTGAATGAATGTTACTTATCTTAAAACATGAAGATTTTAAATTTGCAGAAGAACTTGTATACATGTTATAAAAGGTCCTAAAAAATTTTACACTTTTTTGTTAATTTTTAGAAAATGACACAGTCAATTTTCTTTTACCATTGACCAGACTTCCAACACGCATTCCGAACTCGGTTCCGTATTTTACATACTTAAAGTGAATGTTAGTATGCCCATACATTTGTAAAAGAAAGACAACTCCAGCGTTACAAATGTACATTTTAAAATAACAGATGGTGTTGTCTCCCTTCAATTTGTCTTGTTGTGTACAAAATGGAGGTCATTAACCTTCGTGACCGTCGGACAATTTTCAATCATATTGTTGGAAATAAAACTGGAACAGAATTAAATTTGTAATTTTCATTCTTTAATTTCTTAACCTGTCATACCTGCCAACTTGCACGATTCAGGCGTGAAATACTCGATTTTGACCCCTTGTCACGATTGCACGATTGTGATCGTGTAAAAACCTCTAAACCACGATTTTGTTAAATTCTACTGTTCCCAATATTTCAAACTTTCCTTCTTCTTCTTCTGTGTATTAGCCTCCTTTAAGTAGGAGCACCTCCGAATGGAGTATATACCCTTAATGCATTATTAAATTTTTAATCACATTGTAAATATGTACAGCACATGCATATAAAAGAAACAAAGTTTTATTTTTTACATGGCATATATACAGGGAATTGGGTTTTATTTTTAAACTATCTCACCTCATGTATATGTTAAAATCAATTATTATTGTTTTATATAAAATCTAGAATAAAAGTAAACCAGTTATTGTTAAAAGATAATATTAAGTAAAATATGATCAGATTTGATAAAAAACAGGATTTTAATCCGCTATAATATATTAAGAGTAGCGATTTCATAATAATGTAAAATACATAATGGATTTGGTGCATTTTACATTTATATAGAACTTATTGGAGTAAAATAGTACACTTTAAAATAATAAAATAAAATAAAATTATTTATTTATTTCTTTTTAACTAAGGTGGTTTTGGATGTTATCTGTGACGATTTTTGATCTCTTTCCTTTTGTCTACTAAGATTTTATATTCACTTTATTTAATTATTGCATTAATTATAAGATAATTTGGCATCAATAGTGAGTTTTAAATGAGATTAAAATAGCTTTTAGAATATATATGTATATGAATTTTGATTCTTTTCTTTTTTTTATTTTCTTTGTTTGCACATTATGTACATTATATTTTATGCATTGTATACTTTATATTTCATATTTCAGACTCGGTGCCGGGCTATGTATTCTAATGTCTATATGTATTATATTAAGGCATTATATTCTGTTCACTGAAATATTCCTCATGTTGTCCTGAGCTATGAATACTGTTTGTTATGGAATTATTCATATACATATCCTTCTGTCTATTCTTATTCATTATTTTTTTCCAGAATTTTCAATCTGTCCATATGTAGTTGAAAAATCAAGTTTCTTGTTTTGTTCTCAATAATGTTCACTAATTTATTAGAATTGTTGAGCACTTCTTTATATTTTGTACAGTCTACTATCAACTGAGAGATTGCTGTCTTGTTTTTAAAGACATTGTTCCACTTTTCTGCAGTAATCTCATTGGTGATGATTTCTCTTATTTCTGAGAAGTACTTTTCTCTTGTAGTACTTAGTATTGGACAGGTTGTTAGGAAATGTATCACATCCTCATTACCACTGCAACAAAGTTGTCAAGTTGCTTCCACATTGTAATGTGTGAATTTGTATTTATCCGCTTGCAGTATATATGTCCCGGTCATTACTCTTGCTTTTATGATTGCCTTTCGTAGTTCGAATCGTGGGAGTTGTTTAACATTCCAGACATGATGTGGTTTGTTTGGTTCTAGATTGCTTGTATTGAGGAATTTTAGACTTGATTTGTTTTCTACATCAGCTAGGGTCTTTTCATTCCAAAATTTATCCACTTTTATCTTGATAGTGTTTTTCCAATGCTCTTTCTTTGGCGTGTTCTTTTGTAATTGAGTGATGCTTGGCAGCCCATACATTTCTAATATATCCATTATTCTTGTAAAAAAGCTCTTATTGTTGTCAAAATTTGTAGTTACTTGTCTGGTTAATATTTGATGTATTTGATCATTTCCACAGTTTAACAAAGATAAAAGGAGTGATAGACATCTTTTGTGTATTTCTGCCTCTATCGGCAAGGCTCCTATTAATAGTAAGACTGCTGCGTTAGATATTCTTTCTGGTAGGGATTGTATATGCCGGAGATTTTTCCTGTGAAATTTTTCAAGTTGCTCAATATTTGTCTTTGTCATGGGTAATACTTCGAGTCCATATATAAGCCTTGGTACAACATATGTTTTATAGATATTGTATGATGTTGGAGGATCCAGACCATTTGTTCCATGGACTCCTGACCCCATTAGTGCATATTTCGTCCTTCTCGCAAATTGTATTCTTTCTTGAATATTTATTTGGCATTCATTCTTTTCAGCTCTTATAATACCTAGATGTACACCTGATTCAGCAGTATTTATTTCATTTCCACCTTAATTCCATTTATAGTTACTTTTTGTCTTTGAGCAATCAATAATTTGTGTTTTCATTGGATGTATGGTATAATGATGTTCATTGGCATATCTGCTCAGTACGTTTAGCATTATCTGAAGCTCATTTTCATTGTTAGAGATAAATGCTATGTCATCAGCACATGTTGGGGTGCCTGCATATATATTTCCTAGGTGATATCCTAGAGCATTTTCTTCTAATTCTACAAGTAAATTCTGGACAAAAACCTTGTAAAGATGAGTGGATAATATTCCTCCTTGTCTCACACCTTGTTTGATGTTGAATGGGGTACTGATACCGTCCAGCCATTTCACTTTTGATGTCAGGTCATTATAGAGTTCTGTAAGTATCTTCCAATATACTGGATGTATATCCTGATTCAGCATCTTGTCCATCAGAATATAATGCTGAACTACATCAAATGCAGATTTTACGTCCAAAATATTAATAAAGAAATTTTCAGATCCTTTTTTTTCCTCATACCTGTCTTCTGATATAATTAGACTGGCCATTATTGGTGACAGACCTTTTGTAAAGCCAAACTGGAGGTCTGTTTTTGATTCTAAATTCAGCTTGGTTAGGAATGAGTACTCAAATGTTTTTCCTGTAACCGGTGTAACTGTTATGCCTCTATAATTGCCTAATTCAGTGGAATCTTTATCTTTTTTAAGCACTGGAGTGAGTATTCCGGACTTGAATAAGGTTGGAACCTTCCTATATTATAAGATGTTGTTAAATATTGATTTTAAAGCTGGTGTTACAATTTCTTTTGCATTTTTTAAATGTTCTGCTGTGATTCCATATTCATCAGGACTTTTTTTGGTGTTAAGACAATCTATTGCTTTCTCTATTTCAGATTCTGTAAACAATTCTGGAATATCTGTACATTCCTGTAAGGCCTCTTGTATGCAACTTTGTCTAATTTTGCATAAATTCAAATAGTTACAGTCGTACTGTTCTTCTTTTGGTATACTTAGGTCTTCATAGTACTGTGCAAAACCTTTTCTTTGCTCTTCTGGTAGGAACATGTATTCACCATTGATTTTAAGGCAATTTGTTGTTGGTCGATTGTTATTTCTACTTCTGTTTATCAGCCTATAAAATAGCTGTGTGTTGGGATTGTCTATTATTTGCTGATATAGTTTTTGTCTGTCTAATGCTTGCTCTGCTCTAAGTTTGCTTCTTAACTTCTTTTTTCATTCTTTAGCTCACTTGCTAAGACATGATCTTTTGTTTTTCCAACACTCTGCCATTTCTTGTATATCTCTTTACATGATTTTAAAATTGTAAGAACTTCAGGAGAGGCTTTCCATTTTGGACCTTTTGTTTGCAACAATTTAGTTGGCATTGTTTTTTTACCTGCAATAGTCATTGCTTCCATTAACATGTCTAACTGTATGTTTACATCTTTTTCATTCTCTATGGAGCTTATACTGTTTTGAATGATACTATTATAACTCTTTTTGTCAATTTGATCCCATTGCAATTTGTACTTTGATTTATTGTTCTGTTGGTTTGATTTTCTGATTTTTATACGACCGCAAAAAAATTTTTGTGGTCGTATATTGGTATGACGTTGTCGTCGTCCGGCGTCGTCGTCCGAAGACGCATTAGTTTTCGCACTCTAACTTTAGTTAAAGTGAATGGATCTCTATGAAATTTTACCATAAGGTTTAATACAACAAAAGGAAGGTGGGGATTGATTTTGGGGGTTTTGGTACCAACAGTTAAGGAATTAGGGGCCAAAAAGGGGCCAAAAATAAGCATTTTCTAGTTTCCAGACAATAACTGTGGAACGGTGTATGGATCTCTCTGAAATTATACTACAAGTTTCCATACGACAAAGGGATGGTTAGGATTTGCTTTGAGGGGTTATGGCTCAAACCGTTTAAGAATTAGGGGCAAAAAAGGGGGAAAAAGAAGGTTGTCCTGGTTAATGGACAAATACTTTAGTACAAAACATAATTTAAAGCAGTGTAAGGGAGATAAATCAAATACATCATTGAAATTATCTCCCTTACACTGCTTTTAAATTATGTATAAAGTAATGGTTAATGAACAATTAAGATAATTTAAAACAGTGTAAGGGAGGTAATCCAAATACAACGTTTTGGTTACTTCCCTTACACTGCT